GTTGGTCAGATACCCTCAACAAAACCTCAATATGGATTCAATCATTGAAAAGCTAAACAAGATCAGAACTGATACCACTGAACTCAAAGCGTCACAAGGTGAGGTAACAAAATCAATGCAATTTATTAACAAGTAATTTGAAGACATGAAAACCAAGCTAAAAAAATTGCAAGATTCAAATACCAGTCTTAGGAAAGAATGATGAGCTAAAGGAAAGAGTTGGTGGTCTGGAGCAAGAGGTACCTGACTTAAATCAATACCACAGCAGGGTTAACCTTGAAGTAAGTGGTATTTCGGAAACACTCAATGGAGAAGAGAATACAGATAGCACAGTTCTGAACATATTACAGAAAATTGAACCAGAAATAACAGCAAATGAAATAGATATAACTCATCGCATAGGTACAAGAAAATCAGGAACCATGGCGACCCGGAGTGAGGAGAGACAACAACCACGACCGAGGCATATCATTGTAAGATTTACCACCAGAAGACGACGTAACAGTATATATGACAAAAGGCGCAAACTTATATCCACCAGAGATTTGGGATATGAACAAAATAACAATATATACATCAATGAAAACTTAACTCCAGCTGGGCGATCTCTATTAGGCAAGACCAATGCAGCAAAGAAACGGACAGGATATAAATTTATGTGGACTTACAATGGGCGCATTTATGTGAAGAAGTCACCTGACCACAATACAATAATTATAAATACAGAGCCGACATCAGTAAGATAATTTAACATCATTGTTTTCTGTTCCTCCTCTTGAATTTTAGTTAAGCAATTTGTACATTCTCTTCAAATATGACTGCCAACCAAGAGATGAGAACAACTCATAAATTTCATTGTAAATCATATTCCGTTAATGACTTTAATACAAAATTGCCAAAACCTCCACCAGGTGCTATTGCCATTATACATTTAAATATAAGATCTTTGAAAAAAAATATTGATAAATTAAAAATTTTCTGTGAAAATAGTTTATCACCAAAATTTCAAATAATGTCTTTGTCTGAAATATGGCAAGTGGATGATTTATCCTATTTTAACATTCCTAATTATACTCTAGTTAAAAACTGTCGTACTACTCCTGGTGGAGGTGTGGCTGCATAGATTCACAGCTCAATCCCATTCAAAATTTTACCAAAAGTTAACATACATGAATCAAAATCATTGTGGCTCGAAATACAAATATCAAATACCATTTTCACTTTATTTACAT